ACCCTGATCCCTAAACCATAAGCCCTAAACCGTAGACCGTGGCAGTTTCGGGATTCGAGGGGGTTGGGCTTGCCATTTGTCTTTGCGATCATTCTGCAGCACGGAGGCTCCAACTCCTTTTGCCAAGTTCAAGTCTGCAAGGCTTCCCTGAGCCCTGCATAAGCTCAGACAAAGAAAGCCTAACATGCCTTAGACCCGAAATCCAAACCAGCCACAATCCTAAAACCCTGATCCCCAAACACAGCTAACACATGGGCCTTAACAAATAGAATAGGGCTATAAAAAGGAACCCGCCAAAATAGTATAGATAATTGTGGAGGCCCCCATGTCATACTGTAGTACCCTTGTAGTTAACCCTTATAGACCCCTTTAAAGGAACCCTTTAAAGCCCTAATAGACCCCTTTAAATGGAACCCTTAGCCCTCTGACCAGGAAGAGTGTAACAAGCGCGATGCACGCAAGGAGCGCTTCGCGGCGCAGGCTGTGAGCCGTCCAAATTTGGGGGTTGGCAGGGGCTGGAGGTTTGGCTAATGTAGCACTTTGTTTAGGGCTTTAGTGTTCAGGGTACACTGTTCGAAGTTTAGGTCTAAAGATTAAGGATTTAGGTTTAGGTTTTAGGGTTCAGGGTGTTTGCTTTTAGGCCCGTAGGCACAACCAGCCACACTTTGCCAAATGCTTCTAACACGTACCGCCCTCTAAATGTCCAGGCTTGAAAAACCAACCTTACAAGAAGGCAAGCCCTAAGATGTAACTTGATGTTTGAAGAAGCTCTATGAACGAGGCCAGGGCTAGCGCGCCACCGGAGCAGGCTCCGGAGTGGTTGGCCGAACCGGGCTGCCTGGGTGCTTTATCATTCTTGTTGTTTACGGTTCAGAGGTTGTCGTTCTGCGGACTGTTGAGCATCTGTCACGACGGCGAAGACGACGTTGCTGCTGTTGCTGCTGCGGTTCTCGCTGCTGCTGCTGCTACATATATATATATATACATATATATATATATATATGTATATGTATATATACTTATACATATACATATATATATATGTATGTATAGATGTGTATATATGTATATATGTTTTTTTGATCTTCACGGACATGGCAGCAGCGAGGAGACGATACCAGCATTATCGTCACTTTCATCGTGACGATGACCTTAGTCTCCATCGTCGTCGTCATCCTGTTCCACATCAGCCTCCTCATCGTTGTCGTGATCCAACATCTGCCGTAGCCATGATAGATGTCAGCCATATAATATTGACAATTGTGTTCGTTATGACAAATGCCGAAGCATGATCACAAGAGGAATCATATGGAATCATTTCGGAAAGACGAAGCAGAATGACCACACTCATAGATATACCTGTCCATGCGTAAGATAACTTTTGGCTGTGGTTTCCAGAGTTTCCAGTGAGCAGCAGGATCTCCCTGTGGCTTCCGACTAGACCACTGAACACCCTCAAGCCCTAAACCTTTTCGCATGAAACATATGTATACAATATATAGTTAGGTAATATATATATATATATATACGTACATCTACCTAACGGTCTGTCTCTCTATGTATCTGTCCATCTGGCTGAGCTGTCTATCTGTCTATCTATCTATTTATCTATCTATCTATCTGTATGCCTACCTGCCTGCCCACCTACCTACGTGTCTATCTGTCTATACACCAAAATCACATAGATGTAGCTATGAGCAGATAGACAGACAGACGGACGGACAGACAGACAGGCAGACAGATACATATCTATATATATATATATACACATACGTATGTAGATGGAGAAATGTATTGATTGAGCATAGTACATTCGGATAGGGGTTATGAGGAATCATTCTGACTGGTACAACTCATTGTCAGCAGGCCTTCGAAGCCCAAACTGGCGGTGTCAAGCTGAGGACGGCCGGTTGTCGGCACCAGCAGCGCTATCTTCCGGCAGGGATCCTCGGTGTAGGGTTATTTTTTAGAGTTTCTATCAAGCTTTCTGTACCGGGTTTCTTTACGGGGTTTAGGGTTGTGAGGGCTTTTGGGGTGAAGGGTGTTAAAAGTGTTGGGGGTTCACGGCTTTCATAGGAAGTTGGAGGCAGCACATTTTGAGAATCTTTGTCGTTAGGTTCTCTGTTCCTCGATGGCAACCAACGCTAAACCCTACACCCGAAACCCTAAGCTCAAACCCCCTAGTGCCTCAGCCCTCGATGGCGCCTGCCTCATTTCATGGAAAATGACCCTTGAACTTAGAAAAGCCTTCAAACCCCAAAAGCCCCACACATTAAACCCTAAACCCTAGATCACTTTCCTCGAAACCCTAAACCCCTAAAGCCCTTAACCCCCCCCCCCCTTTCCTGTTCAGGCCCTTTTTGCGCCTGCGCACGGCTCCAGATCCTACAAAGGTTCGGCCAGAGAAGGCCAGCCGGGGTCAAGGCAAACAGTAGGGTTTGGAGGGATTTTGAGGGTTACCATAGGGTTACTGTACGGGGCAATTATGAGTTCCCGACTACTAAGGTTTCTCTGAGGGTTTGGCTTCTTCCGGGCTTCGTTTTTTTTTCAAGGTGGGTGAACGCGGAGGTGAAGGGTTGAGGGTTGAGGTGCTGAGGTTTGGGGGAGGGGTGCGGGATATGTTCAGGCTGGAGGATGCAAGATGATGCAAGGTCGAATTGGAGCCGTGGAGTTTCGGATCTTGAGCTTTGGTCCCCGTTCTACTAAGATTGCCGAACCCTAGATGTGCGCTCCTGGCTATTTGGGGGCTATGGGACCCCGACCATAAATCCAATAAGTCCTCTTTCAGCCGCAGCCCTCAGCCCTCCAAGCTTTTTGTCCAGAACTTGTTTCAAAAGGGACTTGTGAAGAGGTCTCGGCGTATTCGAGTGGGCATCAGACATGTAGCTTGACAGGAACGCTTGCCTATGCCTGTATACCCTGAAGAAACCACCAACCAAAGCCCGAACCCTAGCAGAGAGCGATTCTTTCCAGTATTCTTTCCACTGGCCTGAGATTTTCAATCCCCTACCCTACACGACCTTGGATTTCGGGTTCTGGGGTTTAGGGAAGTTTAGTCGGGATTAAAATACCAAGCCCAAAGAGCAGATTCAGCTGGTCAGGTGTTAGACGCCTCCCTGCGTGCGTTACTGAGCGAGAAGACCTGCCCACCCGGCGGATGGTCGCAGGCACCAGTCATTTTGCCACTGAGTCGTTTATCAGGATTATTTCGTGCCGTGTTTGTTATGAAAACGTCGTTGCTGTCAGTGTTTTGGTTACGTGCTGAGGATTACTAGCACTGTTACTATAACTGCTACAGTTGCAATCACGATTTGCATTGTCATTGCACTTATGCATATCACTCTGTCAGTGCTACTACCCTTGGCACAAATATTGCACGAGCTTCAGGGGTCAAATTCTGGGACAACTTCAGAGAAGGCTTTTCGGCTCGGGGCAGTCGTCTGAGCAGGCTCGGTCCCGTGCGGATTTGGCCAAGAATTTGGAGGTTTGAGTCTTCCTTGGGTACTGCGCCCCATACACTGACAGTCTATGATAGGGCTACTATTAAGGGCCTAGTATATCTATATCATACAGATTATGCAACTGTTACTGAGTGGGGGCAGTACCCAAAGTCTTTGTGGTAGCGCGGACGACGCATGGGCGTCTGAGAGGTTGATCTTCGGATGAATACCGCTTGGAGTTTCTTGGAGCTTGCTTTGAGGGGATGCGCTCTCGGGTTCTGTTCGCAAGATTCTTTCAGAGATGTGGTGTAGAACCGAACCGGCGGCCAATCCCTGTCGGTTCCGGGTTTGCCAAGACTTAGAGGTCTCTGAAGTCAACCCATACTCCTGCAGATTGGAAGAACTTCTGACACCCGGAAATCCAGGTTCGTGAGCAGCTGTGGAGCATTCGCCAGGCCTGATGTGGGTTCTGGCTGAGGCAAGGGAAGCCCCTGCTTCTGTAGCCAAAGGCCATCAAAGGCCAAACGCCATACAAAGTCCCAGCGCGGCATCTGAATTCCGTTTCCCGCAAATCTTGGAGTGGTGCAGGATCTGCTGGTGCAGCACCTTCATCGCACAGCTCTTGCTTCAGAGGTGGTCGGTGCATTCGGGTGAGACGACTGTTGGAACAATTAGACGCAAAGCCACTTGTGCCGGTGCTGGCGCCTTGCATGAGATACCTATCATTAGAAGCGGAGCACCTTTCCGATGCTTCCTTGCTTTGCTTGCACCTCTTTTCCGCTCTGTGGCCGTCTTGGTTGAAATATTTCGACAGAGAAAAGACGAACGGTCACGCACCGGAACCTCGGTCCCCAGAGGTTCACACCCCGAAAGTTACGTAGCAGGAAATCCAAACCTCGGCAGCCTCGAACACCTCCCCCCAAAGCCCTGAACTGCCAGAGTTTTCAACGAGCCTAAAGACACCCTGCACGACCTCGACCTCGGAGCTGATGGTGTCCGGTTCCTCTCCGTCCTGCCGCCGCTAAGGCGGGGCTGGGTTTTGCGCGGATTGCTGAAGGGCTTGCTGAATCAAGAAACATGTGACCGGGACTCAGGATTTTGTTGTGGGTGTGGAGATGTTCGCATGCGATTTGAGATGTAGCTTGTGAAGATCGTGCAAAGCAAAGCGCACGCCCTTCCAACCAGGTTTTGAACAGGTTCCCAATTCTTGGCCCGCTGACCCAAGACACACTCGGCCCATCTTCGGAGTGACCGTGCACAAATTTTATGCAGGTCGCCAGGTGGTGATATTCGGCTTGTGGCCGCAGGTAGTTTGTTCATTGCTGGCAATGCTTGGCACATTGTTCAGATAGGCAGCCACGGAAGACCATGCCCCTGAACCATAATCTGGAGGCCTTAATAATTTGAACAGGGTTTTGGGGGTTCCATATTATAACTACAGTATAATGTGCCCCAAGACCCTATTCTGAAGATGAGGCCCCTATATTAACTGGAATGATCTGAGGGGCCCTCCGTGCTAGACCAAGCCCTGCTTCTCTTGCAGGAGCGCCGGTTTTTACCATGTCGCAGGAAAGCGAGGCTCCAGCAGCAGCTCTCCATCAATTTGTAAGAAACGTGTGTCTTCGGTTGTTTGTGCAAGCAAACCTGCTTCGTGTTGAGTGAGTGGTGGATATTGTCAGGCTGGGCAGCAAAGTGTGCCACCTTTAGCAACACTCGTCCAAATTAGAAGCAGATAGCAAGCCACGAATCGCACTCTCTGGGCCTCTGGGAGTTGATGTTGTGCCTCGGACCCCATGGCCGTGTTCGGAACCGAAGTGCAAGAAGGGGTCCTCTGCAAACCGCCAGCTTGAAGAGACCGTTTGCACAGCCCGAGTTGTTTCTTGGATGCCGCTGATTTCAGTGATGATGGTCATTGAGGTTGCACCAACGAAATAAGGTAGTCACTGTGTCGGTGATGAACGGCAATCCAGCATATGCTGAGAATGTCCCGATGACAATGTTATCGAATAAGAAGCAGATGATGATGTTGAAGGTGATGATGAATGATGATGATGATGATGATGATGACGGTGATGATGACGACGATGGTGGAGATGATGCGGCTGACGACAATGAGGTAGTGGTGGTGATGATGGTGACGTGATGTATTTTCAGGTGATGTCATGTGAAGGATGTGATGTCAGGGGATGTGCTACGGCGTGATGCGATACAGTGGGATATGGTTTGACGTGATATGACGTCATGTCGATGATGGCGGTGATGAGGAAGTTCATGGTTCGACAGTGATGATGGCCATCACCGTCATCATGTTTCGGAGACCCACATAGCGAAACATAACGCAACACAGCATGTTGCAAATTAGGACAGCAAAACGAAACATAGCCCAAACGCGCGGAACAACCGTACGACGACGCGCTGAGATAATATAAAGGATATGATCACAACATGCATACCTACGGTCACTCACGAGGGTACTCTTCCCTTAGGCAGGGCACCTAAAAAGGGAAGAACACCGCAGGAGGAGCCGAATGACAGCGAGAAAGCCCGTGGCTCAGAGACTCGTGCTGGTGCTCATCTTACAAGCCTGCTCCAGGCTTTTGAGGAAATGCCTAAACCCCTTAAACCCTAAACCACGAACCCTAGATCTTCAACTTACCCAAATCCGCAAAAGAGACGTGTGACCAGACTCGGATGCATTCTTTCCGGGGCCGTACTGTGTTTTCATGCTTTTTTGTCTTTGCAACTTGGAGCGAGAATCCCCAAACCCCTAAACCCTACACTCTTAAAGCCTAAACCCTAGACCCTAAACCCCAAAGCTTAAACCCCTAAGCCCTAAACCCTAGACTCTTTACCTCATAGGCAGATGGAAAAAGGCGCTCAAAAAAAAAAGACTCTTAAACTTAGACTCGTAAACTCGAAGCAGAAATCGGCTAAGCGAGCCCGGGAGTTGGCCTAACCTCTCCTACGTTCCGTGTTTCGTTTTTGGGGTGTACGGTCCGTCATCGTTTGTTTGGTTTGGTTTTCCCGAAAAAGCTGCTTTAGACCATGCTTTGTGGGTGCCACTCCGAGGATGTGGATGCCCAGTCGAACGAAGGGAGTGAGGTCCCTTCCGAGGCCGCTTCGATATTTCAGCGCATGTGAAATCGTCTCTGACTAATTGGACAAAAGAACACTCACAGTAGAAGCCAGAAAGTTGGAATATCATTATCGTAACCCCTTTAAGGTAAATTATAGGGGATCCTACCATTAATCCATATTCCAACTTTCTGGAGTTCCCTTTACCCTGGTCAAACTTTGTATCAGTCCTAGAGGGTGTTCAGTGGGATTCGTCTAGAATAATCCTCGGGTTCTGACAGGTTTCTGATGCCGTCCTGGATGCCGGTCGCCTTGGCTGCAGTAGGGAAGCTGCTTCGCATTTGCACCCTTCTTCATCAGCATAAAAAAGCTATCAATTTACTGCTATTATCTCCGCCCAGAGCGGGGTGCAAGATCGCGTTCAAGGCGAGAGTGCTGTTGCACCGGGTTTCATGATCACTGCTTTCATTCGAGCAGGTCAAGCAGTCTCACTCGTAGTGCGCTTATTGCAACAGCAACTGCGGATTGGACAAAGTGGTATAATAGGAATATAATAGGAATATAATAGGACCCCAATATAATCCTTATAGTCACTATTAAGTTCCAGCTGATGTTTTCATACATCGAGCAGTAGCTGTCTGATGGCGTGCCCACGCCTGCCAGCCTAGGTGTTGAGAAGTACCAGGCACCACTGCTTGCATGTGCAAGTCGTGGAGCGAGGGGGGGGGGAGTAAAGTATACTGTTCACATACAAACTGAGCTGGTTCGATCTCAGTTGCAGGCTGCTCCTTCTGGCCCTAAACCCTAAACCCTAAACCCTTTGACTTTCAGGACCACAAAATCCATCAAGGTTCAGTAGCTGTGGCTGAAGATTTCAAGGCACACCCCTCGGCCCTGAAGCCCTATAAGCCCTAGCCCCCTCAACCCCAGACGCTGCACCCCGCCCTGAAATGGGAGTTTCCGAAAATAGGGGGCCCTAATATAGTACCCTAAATGGTAGGATCCTTATTATAAGGACCCCAAAATAAGGTACCCCTATTTTCGGAAACTCCCAAATCAAAACTAGCTCGGGAGGTCGTCTACGACCGGACTCTGGACGATCTACGGCTACCCGTAGACATCGTGGAGGAAGCCCAGCAGGCTGACGTACCAAAGCGGCCAAAATCTTCATACATTGAAGGGTTTTGGGTTCAGGGTTTAGGGTTTTGGGTTTAGGGTTTTGGGTTTAGGGTTTTGGGTTTAGGGTTTTGGGTTTGTGGTAATTTGCTTGGGTGGGCAGTTCCACCATAGCCATGCAGGGATCATGTAGGTATGATGCTTTTGATCGCTTGGGCTCCTACATTGGAGCTTGACTCGGGTTCGCGGAGCTGCGGAAGCCAGCAAGCAGCCCGCAAGCGTTTTGGGAGGCAGGTGGTGTAAAGTATTTCGACTCCGTGGGCATATTTTTCATTCAGAAGGTCTATCAGTTCGTTTACCCCGATGCAAGAGATGGTTTCAGAGACGCGGAGTGTTGTTGCAGTCGTACTGCTGAGATTTCAAGTTTTGAGGTTTCAGGTTTCTGCAGACGAGGAGTTTGCTGTCTCAGGTGCAGTCTAGGAAGCTGCAAAGACTGCCGCCGACTCTCCAAACCACCAAAGCCAGTTCCCGATTCCGTGACCTGGCGCAGGAGCCGAAGGGCCCTGAACCCCAAGCCTGAACCATGGATCCATATGGGAGTTTCCGAAAATAGGGGACCCTAACATAGTACCCTAAGTAGTATGATCCTTATTAGAAGGACCCCAAAATATGGTACCCTTAATTTTCGGAAACCCCTCGACCAAAAAGCCCAAATGGCGACAACACTAGAGAGTCGACCCCAAGGGGGAAGGTCCCCAAATAAATACAGAGCCCTAAACCGCTACTCTTGGGGCCTCCTCGCGGTGAGAATCTCCGATACAGGACCCTACTAAGAGGGCCCTACATGTGGCAGCGATCCTTGGGGTGAGCCATAAACTCTGAGTCCTGAACCCCAAACCCTGAAAAATGCCCTACCCAATAAGTAGCCCCAAAAGTCTGAACCCTAAGCCCCAAGTTCTACCCAATGCGGGACCCCAAGCCCGAAACCCTGCCCAGTGAGGAAGCCCAAACCCGAAACTCTAAGACGCCTTAAACCCTAAACAAGAAGGAACCCCAAACCCGAAACCGTAATCGATAAGATAAGGCACCTCCAAACCCTCAACCGACAACCTAAACTCAAAACCGGAGTCCGGTAGTAAGGCACCCACGACCCCCAACCCTCATCCCAAAGAGTGTTACGTTTCGTAGGCCTGGTCTAAACCCAAACCTCTAAACCCCTAACCACAAAACCTCTAAACCCTAAACCCCTGAACCCCTAAACCCTAAGCCCAAAGCCCACAGCCCCAAACCCTCATCCCAAAGAGCTTTGCGTTTCGTAGGCCTGGTCTGCCTTCATCTCAGCCTCGGAGACGAGAGAAGCGGCAGGCGCGACATCTTCGACGGCCGTTTCTCTCACGGCCCCAGGGTATGAGATTTAGAGTTTAGGGTTTAGGGTTTTTGTTGGAGAGGTGTGGAATTTAGGGTTCAGGGTTTAGTGTATGGAATTTAGGATTTAAGGTTTGTTGTGGAGTTTAAGAGAGTTTTCAACGAGGTTAAGCGTTTTTAATGGCTTGAAATGTGTCTCGCCGGTTTGCCAGGGTTTCAAAGGGTTGCAAATTTTTTGTAGTATGATGAGGAAATTACAGGGGTTGCTGAATACGAAGGTTCCTGATTTGCAGGTCCTTGTACCAAGCGTCCAATAGTTGAGGTCTGCATCGCAGTCCATGATTTTCTGGACTTGCACAAAATGCATCTTTCACTTTCCTCTCCTCCTGTGGACTAACCCCCTGGTCTGGGGCACAGCACGACCAGAGCGGGACATGCCACAACCGCCCCGATTTTTGGGGAAGACACGAACAGGATTTATCACAACCGGTATATAAGGCCAGGTTGAACACGACTACAGTTGTCGCTGTGTAGGACACCGAGCATACTGAAGCTACATTTGGTTGCGGTCATGGCGCTCATCTGCCTCTATCTGCCATCATCATCATCGTCGTCATCATCGTTGCCACTACCTCTGACCACGCGACATCAAACGTGCTCCCGTTGCCCAGCAGGTGAAGCGCTGTTCGCGGCGATTTTCGATGCGGCCCCGAGCCTCCAGCAACTCTTTAAAACCGCCAGGCAGCTCGATCGATGATGGAGCACACAACACAAAACATGTAGGTGGATATCCTGGGATATTCTGGTATTGGCACTGACCAAGACAGCTAGGAGAGCTGCAACGCATCATGGCTGAGGTGGTTTCATGTGTGCATCCGGCCCTTTGACTTTGAACATAGAAACATCTTGACGGACATAGCCCGAGCAATCTTCTCAAAGTGGCCTCTGCTCGTGGCTAGTCGTGTGTACTGCTCTGAAGTTCTTTTAGCTTGGGAGGTCATTCAAGTCGTGTCATGTGGCCATTATAACCCTAGTTACTAAGTCCTATGATCCTTGAAGTAGACCCTAACCCCTAAACCCCATACATCCCTTTAAGGAACCCTATAGATCCCCCTGGCGCTTCGGGGTTCAGTGTGAAAGGGCCTTGCTGCGCAGATGGATAGAATTCGGTGAATTCGGTCCGGACTTCCAGCTCAAGCCGCGCTATGAACCCCAAGCCTCCCAAGCTCCAAATGAAGGATCCCTATCCCTTTAAGGGTTGCTTTAAAGGGATCTGTAGGATTCTATAAGGGTTTAGGGTTTAGGGCCAACTTGGAGGTTCATGGGCAGCAAACAAAAAGTAGGGTTATAAGTAGGGTGACTATACTCATAACATCTTATCTCCCATATTACGGGACTTATAACCCCATTTATAAACTACCCGTGAACCTCCAAGTAAAGCCAGTAAATCTTTAAACAGTCAACCTAAAGCCCTCAGGGGCCTCAAGCATCTTCCTTATAGAACCCGTAAAGGATCCCGTATAAGACCCTTTAAACAGAACCCTCAAACAACTATTCAGGCCCTATACGAAACTCTTATAGTATCCAGTATCCCTTAAAGGATCCCTTATCAGACCCCTGAAAAGGAACCCTCTTCTAATTTTTTTAGGCCCTTGCATTACACTTCCGAACTCCGCAGTCTTGTGCCATCTCGAGGTCGGTCATCGCAATGAGATTCGCTGCTGGCCGGGGTCTCTACAGTTGGGTTCTTCAAGGGGGTTCCTTTAAAGGGTTCTGTAGGGGTATAGAGGGCTTCTATAAGGGTTCTATGAGAGTTCCTTTCAAAGGGGTTTGACCAAACTTCATCCCTGGGCCCTCAGCCCGAAATCCTATGATGCCCTATACCCCTCCAAACCTAAGCCACGGTTTAGGGTTTAGGGTTTAGGGTTTAGGGTTGGTTCAGGGTCGCTTGCTTGGCTGTGGGCCTGTGAGCCCAGATCTTCAGCAAAAGCTTGGCCTAGACTTCTCGGACACTTCAAGGGTTCAGGTTTTAGGTGGCTAAAAAGGTTGTGATACGGTTTCGTGCAACTAGGGCTTATAGGGCTTTTCGACTTCAAAGGGTGTATTGGTGGTTTTGGGCTTTAATGAGTGTGTATGGGTCTAGGCTGTTTGGGGGTTCCTCATGTTGAAGTCTGACCTTCCACCAGCAACGCGCTGTGAGACCCACTCCGAAATCTCAAAGAGAGCCAACCTCTAGGACGCTACGGCCCGATTGAAAGGGGTTTAGGGTTCTGAAGCAAAGTGCGAAAGAGAGTCAGCTCTCCGAGGTGTGAATTCAATTTTCGCTGTAGCCGGGAAGCCGCATACATTGAAAGTCCAGGCTGGGTCGGGTGTTGCTGCAAGGTGGCGCTGCAGCAGTTGGAAAGTGGCAAAAAGTATTGTGGAACCTGTCCGGACCTGCTAGTGCTCAAGCTTGTGAGTCTGATTGCAGAGTTTCGTCACGGAGAGGTGGAAACACTAGGTTTCCAGCACCTTGACATCGTGCTGCCCTCAGTTGCTTGTGTTGCTCGGTGTCCCGTGCCGGTTCATGGCAAAGGCATATGCTTCGTGTACTACATGACCAGGCAATTCGCACATTTCACGGGTGGAATGGCTAATACTGAAACTGTAAATTTCATGTGCTACATAACTTCATCAGGAGGAGGCGATGGGCCGGGTGCTCCGGCACTTCCCTTGAATGCCCGAGTATCCGAGCATCCACCGCCACTCCCACTCTAAATCCGAAGGTATTCGTGGTTTGACGTGATGGCGGTTCAAGCTTGTTCTTAAAGTCGCCACTAGGTACTACATACTTCCCGGCATACTGCCATAGTGTAATAGATCCCCGACACATCCTGGGACGCACGGGCAACACCCAGAATAGTACGAAATATTACCATTATGTACTACTACATTTTAACACTGTGACAACTATTTTTTTCATTGAAACCATATTTAGTAAATATTCCCCAGTGTTCCTTGTTAGAATAATGGGGTGATGTACCCCACAGCCCATATTAGTATGACCCTTCCTAAATCGTGTGTGAACAATCCGTTTGTTGATTTCTAGTACCAGCATGCCCCAACAACAGCACGAAGGGGGTTCAGGGTGTAGCGGTTGAGGGGTTCAGGGTTTTGAGCTTCTGAACTGGGATCGGAGCTTTGAGGGTCCATTTTCGGTTGCCTTTCTCGGCTGAACCCTAGACCCTAGACCCTATAGTCACTATAGTCCTAAAGACTTTAAACCCTTAAACCCCGAAACCTGAAACTCCATGATCTGCAGCCTCCCTCCTTCAAGGAAGTAACCGCTCCGCGGGTGGACATCTTCCGTGAAGCTATCCTCGAATTGCTTGACATGGAGCCGGGGGGTTTGGCTTCCTAAGCGCTTGGCCTCAAAGCCCTCCGCCCTAAACTCACAGCCTTCACGCCCCCAAAACTCTAAACTTTAAACCATAATTTTGCTGGAGCTCCTCCGGTCTAAACCCTAAACGTCTGAGCCATAAAACAGAAAAGCCCTCGTTCACTTGGGTCTGGGAGGATAGTCCGGGCTCTTCGGGTTCGGCCGTGTAATCGACCTATAGCTTCTGGATTTTTCAGAAACGGCACCGAAATTTTAAAAACAATATCCCCAACTCAAGGATGCTCCTCGAACGTGCTTCATATGATCAATACTATCAGGACCCCTAAGCACCGTGGAGCCGCAAATCATACAAAACCGTTTCTAAGCCTCGTGTAAAATCCTAGCCCCGACTTACGGTTATGGATCTCGGACCCCGTAGGGACCTGAATCCCTTTCTGACAGGTGATGTAGGGATCGGAATGATTACCAGCAGTACCAGTAGCATCCTTCCTTAGTCCTTATTACACTTACGGTAGAAGATACACCCAAAATCCTACTTAACTGAATCAGACCCCTCTGTCAGATTCTGCCTGCTTAGGGCCCAGGGCTTAGGGAGTCCAAGGTTTTGGGTTCAGGCAAGCTTAAGGGCTTTTGGTTAGGGGAAGGCTTAGGGCTTCAGGGCTTAGGGTTTTCATGGATTTTGGTGTTGGAGGCTCCAGTTCACCGAACTCTGAACGCGGCGATCCGAAATCACAGTTGTCTCCCCGTGTGATTTGTTTTTTGAGGGAGGTGGGGCAGGCGGTAGGCATCACCGCACACTTGGTGTCGGCACGGCAGTTCCATGAACCCGATCGATGGCCAATCCAAAGATCTTGCCTTTCGTGCAGGAGCTCGGTACGCGATTTAGCGACAAGGCCCGACTTGGCCTGACAGCCGCTTGTCAGTGTCAGTGTTAAACTGTTAGAAGTTTAGGGATGACCTGTTTCCATGAAACGCTTCACAGCGCATTTTAGCACGCAGTCAGATGAGATGCAGGCGAGCGGTCTCATTGACATCGTAGCTGCTGTTCATGCTGATGCTTCTTTCTACAAGGTCGTAGCATGATTGTTTTCGACGATCACGGTGATTTCGGCCTCCACCGCCTCTGTCGGTGCTGTCCTTGCCATAGAGATGATGGTGGTGTTCATCATCATCACCATGATCATCACCATCATCATCACCGTCATCACCATCATCGCAACCCTCACCACCATTATCAGCACCCTCACCATCGTCGCCATCGTCACCATTCGTCACCATTCGCCACCATCGTCACCGCCATCACCATCATCACCACCATCACCACCATCACCACCATCACCACCATCACCACCATCACCACCATCACCACCATCACCACCATCACCACCATCACCACCAGCACCACCAGCATCATCGTCATCATTTGCATCACGACTACTGCTTATCTAGCTGTCTCTCTACCTATATCTATCTATCCATCTTTCTGTCTCCCTGTCTATTTGTCCATCTGTCTATGAGCCTCTCTGCCTACCTGTACGTCTGTCTTTCTGTCTATCGGTCACGTCTATGCATCTATGTGTCTATGTCAGTATGTACCAAAATGCACGTACGTACATGCGTGATGTTGTTGTTACGCTTCCACCAAGGCCATTCTGAATTACGTCGGCGGTGCATACATCTACATCCGCAGCAACCTCAGACCTCGTCGAGTACAATCTTCGAGTGTCCTGTGCAGGGTTGGCGTGCCATTCCTGGTGCCCAATGGTCTAGGGTTGAGGTTTAGAGTTCAAGATCTAAGTTTGGGTCCAAGATCCTTTCAATCCTGATCTCATAACTTGACCTGACATCCCTACAGCCTAAATCCTTTGCATGGCCTTTGCTCAAGGCCGGGAGTATGCAAGCAGAATACGGCTGATACAGCGGAGCTGGGGCATCGCCACGAAGAAGGCACCGTTCAGTTAAAGAACGGGTTGTGGTTTAGCGCTTGTGGTTTAGGGTTTGGGGTTTGACTAAGTTGATGCTTTTGTTCGGGTTTGGGGTTTGGGGTTCCCGGCACCCCGTTTCTGTATGTCCGCTGTTTAGGTCCTGGGCCGCAGAAGTGACCAAGTGCTTCGGACCCCTCGATTCAGGGTGGCAATTCGTGCGCCCTAAACCTTAAGCCATATACCTCCAAAGAAACCCTGATACTTCTACGTGAACATTCCTTCTCGCCCTAAGTCTTCAACCCCTCCGCCTGAAGCCCTAAGCACCCTCCACCCCAAGAAAAAAAATACCCTAAAAGCAACCAAGATCTAAAGACCCACAAACTCGAACAATCCAAACCCCAGGTTCCTAGGCCCACACCCCGAAACTCTAAGCTCCTTACTGAAGACAGAGAACATCCCACGCAACTACCCCTTCTCAAGCTCACGGAAGGTCTCCGCTGAAGAGGAAGCAAAGGCTGCACAGGCCGCAGAGGCCGCCTGCAACAGAGAAGTTTAGGGGCTTAACAGAGCAGAGGGAATTAGGGCTTAGGGTCCACGAGCAAGCGGCGCAAAAAAAGGGCTCCTCATAGAGGGGATTCGTCGATCGGCAATGATGCCGGGTTCGAGGCCGCGTAGTAGTTCAGGGTTCAAGATTTTTGACTCAAGGTATTGGGTCTAGGGCTAGGGCTTTTGCCTGTGTCGGGGGGCTGTTGGCGTTCGTGTCTGGCGGTAGATGCGCACACATCATGAGATGCAGGTGCACCCTGCAGAATCCTGGGTTGTGGTTTCAGAGCTCTTTGTTGCGTCTGGCGGTTTATGGCTGTCCCAGGGTCGAGCCCCCCCTTGAACCCTGAAATCACAGCAACTTTGACGGCAGATGGACGACGATCTGCCGGAAGAGGAGCGTCCCAACCCAGGCACATGTCCAGTTGGCTTTCTGACCGAGGGTTCGCGAATCTCAAGGGTTGCGCTCCACCTGCAGACTGCAGAGGCTTCTACAGTGCCGGGATCAACTACGGTATTGGGCGTTTTTCGAACAGGATTTCCTGCTTTCCAGGCTCCGACCCCTCCTTGGAGAAAGCTTTGCTCTGCTTTTCATGCGTTTGACTCCGATGGTTTTAAAACCAGGACTGTTTTTAAGCAATCCGTGTTCGACTCGCTGTCCAATGACCGGAAACCTGGCGGCCCAGAGCTGCACATGCACACTCCGTGTAAGCCCCTTAGTTAAACGCTCGAAATCTGGCACGGCGATACCAGTGGCCATCCAGGGAGGAACAATGTCAATGTGGAGAACAAGGCGAACGACGCGGGAGACCGTCAGCACCCCAGAACAAGAAAAGGCTCGGCATTCCGTTCGGCAGGAGGCCATACACATCACTGCTTTCGGTGGCACCGTATCTATGACTCTAGTGCGAGTTACGGTACGATGCTAGAATCTTTAGAACATCGTCATGATTATCTCTTTTGGGCACCCTTGCCGGCCAAAATCCGGGTTCGGGGTCAAGCGGTCTAGGGCGACAGGGTAGTTCGGCGCACACATGCAGGTCTCCAGCAAGTAGTTGAAGATCTGCCTAGAGTACGAACTTCTGCAACGAAACGTGTGAAGCTTGGTCTGTTCGGGTCCTCCTCTATCTATGGTAGGTGCAAGTTTCGTTCGCGCAGAAAGAACGTCAACGCCATGATGCCCAACAACGGCTGCCAATCTTGGCAAACGTCTGTGATGTGACAAAACCGAGTTTGTCAATGTTTCAATGCAGGTCACAATCTTTGCCCCAACTCGTGGGCCCCGGTCATAATCGGTGGAGTGTTCCACTATGCCTACAGTCCACTTGGCAGCCAGCTTGGGGACGCGGAATGGTCTTTCGCCAAGACCTTCAGAGTCTGCCAGCCTGGATCACCCGTTCCGAGAGACGACTTTCCTGAGATACACCAAGCCATCTCAGGAGCAATGCAACACGTTGATCTTCAACGGTGGAGGAGTACTGTCGTATTCGACCGAAATTGCGTGCACCTTCGTGATGACCTGCGCATGAGTGCACCCGCCGTTTCGCAAGGGTTGGTTCACATGCTGACGGATTCCTCAAACAGTACTTGGCATCTCTGGCATCTTGCTGGGGTGGCCCGTGCTCGCAGACGAACGTTTGCCATCGGGGGCAGTGCTTGTGTCGGTCAGCATGCAGGTGATGCTGCCGCCGTGAGCCATGCCGAATGGACCCTCCGGACCTTTTCACTAGAGCCCTTAACCCTGACAGCTTAATTCCCTGTAGATCCGTTCTATATTCTTGGGTCCTGATGCTGAAACACGGTGTTATATGCACTACTAGTGCATTGCTTCTAGCGCAAACGAACTCATGATGGGGTGCAAACGCGAGTTGCCCATCGCAAGCTGCATGTATTGCTGATGTGTTCTTCTCGCTACTTTGAGAAAAAGTGATGCGCTGCGGACTTTGTGCGCTTGACTGCGCCCATTGTTTGCACAAAGCTAGGGCATATCCAAGATGCGAAACATCTAGCAAGCTTGGTTTTACTAGAAGGTGGATCCGCCTGCAGCTTTTGCACCGACCAGGGGCATATTGTCTGGAGTGACTCGGGCACTGAGGTGAGAAGCCCAACAAGAAGGGTGCGGTCCAGGCGTGGTGTTTCACCGGGGGCGTTGGAGTTCGGATCATACTGGAGGCGGGTTTTTTTGCCATAGTGAATGGCAGTGGTCCCTGAACCCTAAACCCCTAAACCCGCCTAAAGAAGGCAAGCATAGGTTTCTGGAGCACCGGGGCCTCGATAGGCTTCGGCTCGGTGTCCGCATGATGTCCTCTTCTTTCATGGCCCGATAAGCGGGAGCCACATTTGCAAAGCCACGTTCGCAAATCCAAAGCTTCGCATCCGAGTTTAGAGCTTACGGGGACTTTGATAGGGCCTTGAGGATGTACTATTATTACTATTACTACTATTACTACTATTACTACTATTACTACTATTACTACTATTACTACTATTATTACTACTATACTACTATTACTAAACTTACTAGCTTTTAGGGTCTGGGGTTGAGCTGAAGTCTCGTAAGGCTTTCGTGCTAAGCATGGCCTTCTGGTTCCCTGTTTCAGCCCGGGGTCGAGCCGCATGGCCTTTGTTCTCCCAAGTCCTCCCCTCTTTCAACGAACCATGAACACAGCAAAATCACCAAGTCGAAGCAACAAATGAACCTTGAGCATAGAGGGTTGCAAATTACAAGCAAACTCGAGGTGCCGACCACCTTTAACGAGATGTTCCTCTTCAACGCGGCCGTGATGGGATATGCAGAAAGCTCCGGGCTGAGGTCAAACTGAGAGCTTGGTCAGGAGTCTCCGTATGGTTCCGACGATGATGATGACGAGTAGTAAGACGAGAGTTAGTGTTCTGATTGCTACGAGGGGCGTATTGTGACGCGTGCTACTGTTCTATCCATCATGTAAGTTTTGTCTTGAGTTCTCTTCACTGTTACTTCTGTCAGTACATGGCTGCTATCATATGTCACTTTTTGTCGACTATGACCAGGTCCGAGTTTAGGGTTGTCTCAGAAAAAACACCCAGGACGCATGTACTGCGTGGATTTCTAGCCTCAGCTCCCGCGCATCTCCCGAGTTTCCAGCCCTGCCGGTGATCCCAGGCGGCTGGTTCAGCATCATCCTGGATCAGATCGACAACATGGCAGCTTGGCGTGTCACAGGGATCATTGAGTCCTCGCACTCCGCAGGCATCGTGAAGGTGCCAAGCTGGTGCACACCAGAAGATCCGGCCACACCTCCTTCTCAATAGAAAAACTGACCTTACTGGTGATGTTTCAGAGCTCCAACACCTCGCTCGTGGCTGCCCAGGTAATGAACGTTGCGAACTCAGCGCGTCTTCAGGAGGTGCACCATGCTGGTTTGGGGTCTTGAGATGGGAAGGGGCTGGGTTCCGACAGCACACCCTCAAGCCCCTAAAGCCTCGGGAGGAGTGCGACGTCTGCTTCCTGGTTCTGAACCAGTGCCCTGGGATTAGATGTGACATGATCTCAAAGGGACCAACATGCTGGAAGGGCACACTTGGATCTTTCTGGTATGAGTTATGATGATGACGGCCCTTATTTCTGACCATCGTTGTATCGAACAAGATGGATGGCCTCTGGCAGTCTTTTGAGGTACACTGGGCAGATTGTCCTCAGCGAGCCGCGTCCCGAGCGTAGGCGCCCCCAAATCTGCCCAGCAGAACTGGCGCAATCTCGACTAAAACCTGGGGCCTGTGTGGCCGCAATAATGACCAACATTAGTCCTTAGGCTATTAGGGTTCCTCAGCCGTAAATCTGAGAATGTACTTGCCAATACCCTATTCATGTTCTAGCTGGAAACGGAAACAGTCTGTGTCAAAGAAGTGGCAGGGTTCTTTACCCAGCATTGGCCGGGTGTCCCACTTCTGAAGTCATACAGGCTCCCGTGTGGAGTCTGGGCATTCGGGCTTTGGGTCGAGTGTCGATTTGAGAGGCGTTCAGTCCTGTCGCTTTCGACATGTGACTTTGGGGTATCTCGTCGATGGGCCAAAACAGTATGGCAGCCGTAAGCATTCGCATCGCCAGCTTGGCTCGTCCTTTTGCCTTTCCACGGGTCCGCCATCTTACCTGGAGACTCCAATACCCCTTTATTACGGAATGTCCCTGAAATTGTAATAGGGACCTGAATATATATTGCCTTGATTCAAGGGTATTGGAGTGTCTGGGTACCTGCGGAAATGCACCAGACGAACCGGTAGCCTATGTTATACGTACACGTATGCGGATACACGCGCATACACACATTTGATATACTTCGATAGTTAAAACCTTCTTAATAAGTAAACACATCACTGGGTAAACAAGCAGAGACAAACAGGTAAAGAAGCATATAGAGTTGCAGTTATACATATCTTCAGTTCGGAAGCCTCTACAGGCCCCTACTGACTGACTCTGTGAAGTACAGCTTCGTCCGCATAGTGTGTATAGTCAGTTCGACTATGATTTGCAATCAAACCATGGGTTGGAAGGTCGGTGATGCGCAGAGGCACGTAGTGAAGTTGAGAGTGCAGCGCGGCTGTTAGATAAATCTACGTATTACTGTGTTTTCTACACGTCTGTGACACATATGTTCACATCATCACCAGGTTTGTGTATCTTCGTATGTGTGTGTATCTTGTTGGTATGTACATATGTGGCTATGCAGACCGCTAGGTATGTAATTCTATATTATGCACATGTACACATACAGATGTATGCATGTTGTGCTCTGATACTGGCCGAGGTTCAGATCCGTCATGCTCGCTTCCTTGCGGTCCCTGGTTCCCAAGGACTGGAAAAAGCAATCTGGACATTTCTTGAACTGTATGAGGTCCAGTTCAGTTGTTTTCACCTGTCACCCGGACCGTTGTTCAGCTTTCTAGGAATGTCTTTACCCAGAGGTAGCATTGACGAGGCTCCCGATGGATGTGAGTTTTTCGATGAATGATTTAGTTGTTCCTTAACTTCGCGACTTTTTCGCAACATACTCGAAGTCCTCCTATCTAGCAGGAGCTGCCACTCCCCCTTCCCACCGTTCCGATTTTCTTGCTAGATCTGCATGGCAAGTTGTGTGTGGCCTTGTGGGGAAAAAGGACTTGCATTCACAATGGATTATTTGCAGGAGGCATGAGGCCGATACTTGAAGATGATCTTCCAAAAGTGCCTGACTGTGTATGCATGCAAGCGTTCAGACATGCGTTTATGAATACATAGGCACTCACTAATGAGTGTGGTGAAGATACATTCATATAATCTATATCTATCTCGCCGTTGTGCCTTTCGGGTCTAGCTTCCCCTTTCCGTGTGAGGACTGGGACACGGAGTATGAAGTCTCTTGGAACTGGTTTTGGGAGAATGTGGAGCGGATGCTGAAGACGCTGCTCTCGAAGCCCAAGGCGCGGGCAAGGAAGCCAATACACAGGATAGAGGCCACAAAGCACAGATGTGCGAGCTAGGCTTCTGGGCCTATAACATAAGGTTTGCGGTTGAGTTGAACCCGACGTGTGCCACAATCAGGGAACCATATCATTCAGTATAGATCCCTCTCATGGCAACTTGAGCTTCCTGCCACAGTTTTATGATTTGTGCCCCGCATCTTTGCCTAGAAGCGCTTGAGGTCGGCTAGCAGAACTGGACTCAGAATTCTGTGTAGCTACGAGAAGAGGTTTTTGGTATTGGCTGATACAACAATGAGTATGGTCACCGAGCAGCAGTCGTCGCCGTCACCATCATCATCATCATCACCACCAGTAGCGACGACTACGACGATGATGACGTCGAGTTTGGACTAATCTCATCTCATCTATCCGAAGCTTACCCTAACGCTTACCCTAACCCAGTCTGATGGAACCTAAGCTAGCTAACCCCTCCCATCTCATTATGTTTCATCTCATCTCATATCTTCTTTCTGTTTCACCATCGTCATCATCATCAACATCAGCGCTGCCATCACCACCACCACCACCGCCACCACCGCCACCACCGCCCGCCACCACCGCCACCACCACCGCCACTGCCACTGCCACCGCCACCATTCATCATCATCATCATCATCATCATCATCATCGTTGCTGTCATCGTCATAGACGTACAAGTCCATTGTGGAAAGGGTTGTTCGCATCGTCAAGTTCTGCGTCAGTGACTGGAAACCATGTTGCAGACAAACTCAGGCATTGTTAGCGGGCGAAGACAGTCACAAGCGTACGATAAAGCCGCATGCACACAACCCTGAACTGTAAACCCTGAGCCCCCAAGGCCCCAAAGCCGCCATAGGCTAAATCCCAAATCTCATGTCCTAGGCCCTCTATAACCCTGCTTCCCCAACCTGCAAATCGTAAAACCAGAAACTCCATGTGCCGGACCCTCTTAAGCCCAGGGCCTCGAACCCCCGAGCGCCAAACTGTCTTGCCAGGGGCAAGTGAAGGCCTTGTCGACATTCCTGTCAAACCTCTCCGAAGACCAGATCTTGGGCTGCATCTTTAGGGCACTTGGGAGCTTTGGGGGTGCAGGCTTCTAGACTTTCAGTTTGAGAGGACTGAGGGGCTTTTGTGGCAGGGGTCTTTAGGATTTTGCGGTTTCCAGCTTTTTCCTTGATTTAGGGTTTGCAGGAGGCGTCGCGGCACGCTTACGGTGCGGTTCCATCGGGTCTGGTTCTCCGATGCGGTGCTGCTACGGATGGTCGCATGCATCATCATGCATCATCTGCTTTCCTTCGCTGCAGGAACATTTGTTGGCTGCGGCTGGCTAGACTGAAGGAGGTCCATGGATGCTAGGTTTGCAGATGCACAGGCAAACAGGCAACCAGACGCACAAGAGAGGATAGATGCAGACAGAAAGTCAGAGACTCAGACAGACAGACGGACTCACACAGACAGGGATCGAGAGACAAAGAGGCAGACTGACAAGCGAGATAAGTGGTTCTTTCTGCCGGTAGCTCACGCCTTGTTAAGGACCAACTTCCTGCGTCGAGATGTCTTTCGGCGGTCGCGCCCTTACAGACATGTCCAGGTCCAAGACTTGCCCCGGCCCTAAACCCTACAGCCTGTATTCAAAAGCCACCAAGCTGACGCCCCTAAACCCGAAGAGCCGGCCTTTAAAACTCGACGCCGGAAGCGCGCGCCCGACACCCCAAGTGCGCAGCCCCTCGAGCCTGCTTTGTCCGTGAAGCCTCGAACTCGCAGGCATAAACCAGAAACACTCCGTCTGAAGCACTTGGCCGTACCAAACAACAAGTTGCCTCTGAATTGGCTCTCTTTGCAAAAGCCTTTTGTTACAGCCCTCCTGGAGCTGATATCTGAATGGAAACCCTGATGTAGACAAGCAATAGCAACGTCAGGATGAAGAACGAGACAACGTCAGACTCATGGAAACAATCATCAACATTGTGCCGGTTTGAGCCTCTCCGGGGCCGAGGTTCTTTCTGACTGCACCTGCTGGCCAGGCTGAGCTTTCTTGTCGAAGCGACAGATGTCGGCGTCCTGTCGGGTTCCCTGAAGCGGGCAAGCGGGATTCTGAGACCCTTAACCTCCATTATCTCGCAGAAAGGAGCCTACTTGCGTTCCTGCACCCGCAGAAAAACTGGATTGCGAAATCTCAGCTTGGACCAACTGCGACCCTTGCAGGATTACTTCAAGCAGTCGACAACGCGTCTGTTCTTCATTGCAGACAAGTGTCCGGGCGAAAAATGCCTTTGAGGCCGACGGTTCGGGCTCGACGTAATTTTGGAGCGTTGTGGTGTTGGGTAATGGGGTAGTTATAGGGTTTGGTTCAATTCCAGTAATCTGGACTCCAAGACCCTGTCAAAGTAAAAACCCTGAGCCCTTCGAACTCGTGCAGCGCTGCAAACTCGAAGTCCTGAACCTATAAGCCACCTAGAGCCCCGTACGCCCCAGACTCATGAGCCCTCACTCATCGCAGACCTGAACCCCAAGCCCCTCAAAGCCCTCAAAGCCCAAGCACTTGACTTTGAAACCTTGTGCCCAAAAGCTTCAACCCGGGAAATTTCCTAGATTGTTGGTCCCTTCAGCCCCCGAAGCAATCCAAACCTCACACTCAAAGTCCTTAATATCCCAGGGTCTTTGCAATGACCGTGGACATGTTCAACTCGCCCCGATCCTTGGTCAAGTCTTCGGATCCTTTTGACCAGGGTTTAGGGTTCAGGGTCCAGCGTTTGGGGTTCAGGGTCTGCTTTTTAGGTGTTCAGCTCTGTGTTCTATAGCCCGTCTAGAACGTGTGTCGAACCCTCAGAGGATAGCACCCTTTTATAACCCTCCTTGGAACCTTACCAGAAGCCTTACCGAACCCTCCAAGAGAACCCTTAAAGGAACCCTGACCAAAAATGCCAACAAAAGAGGACCCTTAAAGGAACCCTGACCAAAAAGAGGCCAACAACACAGACACACGCTTAGCATCCTTTTTTCCTTCCTAGACGGTGGCCAAGGATCCATGGTCGAAGACATCTCGGCCTTGGGTCTCCGCCGCTCGGAGAGCTTTTTGGGGGCCTTGGCATTTATGTAGGAGGGCAATTTAGGGTTTTTATGGGCCTGGCCTAAGCAGGTGTGTGGCACCACCGCATGCTGGTCCAGGACTTCAACCCCATCAATCTTGAGAAGGAGTTTGAGGCTTGAGGCGTCATTGTAGGAATCATGGATTTCTTTTGTGATCCCCTTAAGACGGAGGCCGATGATCGAACTGTCCTGAAGGGTTTAGATGTCTGCTTGTATGACTTTGCAGACTTTGCGTGTTCGGAAGGACTTCTGCGGAAGAGGGAATGACATCGCCTTGAGGCCTTCAGTCACGGGTTTACGTCCTTCATCTCCCGCCCAACCCACAAGTCCTTCCAACAAGGAGACCTTCTAAACTCTGGATCCCAGGCCATGTGGGCTATGCCATCCCAACAGAGCTCTTTCCCCCCTTTGTGTCTTCGGCCGTGGATGTCGTGCGCTCCATCACCACGGACAGCCCAGGGACTCTCCTGGCTTCGGAACTTCAGGGCTTCGACAGTCTAGGATTCAGGGTTTAGGGCTTTGGGGTTCAGGGGTTTAGGGTTAAAAGTTAAAAGTTTCAGTGTTCCGGGTGAAGGGGTTTAGCGTTTATGAGAACCTTTGCCTTTATGGAAGTCGAGGAGGTTATTGTGTCTCGCTATGCTAGGAATATTCTTCTCCAAGAGGTCTGTCGGGCTTACGGTTATGTGATGATGACAGTGACGAAGACGATGATGATTATGCTCCTGTGTGACGGTGGTGACATGTTGCGGTTGAAACTCACTTCGACACGATGTTAAGTACGGTGATCAAGAGACTGGTGAAGATGATGATGGCAATGGTTGCGATTGTTGTGATGGCTGTGGCCGTCATGATTGTCGTCGTCTTGGATCGAAGACGATGCAAGGGCTGTCGGGAGAAATCGCAGGTCGGGCCGCATAGGTGTGGTCAGTTGGGCCATGGATGCTACCAATACAGATGGCGCCTGTAGCAATGTTCGTATATATGTAGTAGTGCAAAGTTTTGACCATCTTCTCACGACGAAGCTTTATATCATAATCTCGAACATGGGCATCCGGATGCCCAAGTGTGACACATGATCATCAGGTTAGACCGCAGAGTTCGTTGCGGCTTTCGTACAGTTCGGATTGCCGGATGTGTTTGCAATTGCACAGACCATCCGTGGCTCATCAGGAGAAACGAAGTGCTTGTGGCGTGGGGGCCTTGATTTCTAAATTCTGGGGGTTCCTTATTATAACTAATAGTATCATCTATATATATATATATATATATATACATAGCCCAAAACACCTCTAGTTGACCCCCTGTTTTTCCTGAGTGGAGCCCTCCCATCCATGCACTCTCCAAGCCCGCAGAACGACATGGCGGAGTCCGCCTTCCGCTGGTCGCTGACCCTAGTGTCCAAGATCCTGGTGCGGACCATCTTAGAAGGCCCAACTTTCTCAGTAGTCTAGGTTTCAGTAATTCACACAGGTTTTGGGGGGTTCCTTGTAAAAACTATAGCTAGAGTATATATATATATATATATATATATATATGTATATATATTGGGTCCCCAAGATCCTGGTGCGGACCAGCCTCGAGGGTGCTAAGGGCTTTAAAATGGGTTTATCGGGGTTTATAGGGCTTTGGGGGGTCATAGGGGTGTAGTGTTTTAGGGTTTAGGTCTTTCCAAGATCTTGGTGCCGACCATCTTAGAAGGCGCAACTGTTCTCAGTAAATATGGGTTTTGGGAGTTGCCCATTATAACTTAACTATAGTATACTGGGTCCCAAAACCCTATTCTAATTATTAAGGCCCCTATATTATGCTCATGCTTACACTTCGCGCACCTCGATGAAGAGATACAAGCGCTGTGGTTCTGCTCTCCACTGCTTTTGCGACGGTTTAGGGTTTAGGGTTTTGGGTTTAGGGTTTAGGGTTTAGGGGGATGGTGGGCAGTGTTGCACTCTAGTATGGTAAGTTTCCAGCAGTAGCCAGGAGCTTGCACGTGTTCCGGGTACGCTTTGGCGAAGGAAGCTGATTCGGCAGAAGCTGTGGAGTCGTTGCCGTTCTTGTTTTGAGGCTTCGAGCTCTTCTGTCTTGATGTACATGTATCTCTGCTCTTCTTACTTTTGGATGGCAAGCATGGAAGGGCTTTAATATTTAGAAACGGTTTAGGAGGTATATCATATTATATATGTATATACTTACCTGCTATATCGAAGTGTATAGACAGGAACCCTAAAGAGTACTCACTAGTGGCAGGTTCCACGATCGTGATGAAGGCGGTGAACACGAACTCGGAGAAGGCCGCTTCGTACGCGCTTCGCTGGCTGAACCCTCAATCTGGCAGTCAGAAATCCTAGCCGTGAGCCCTAAACCATTAACCCTAAACCCTAAATTCCCCTAACCATGAACTCTAAACCTTAAGCCCTAAACTCCTAAACCCTAAATTCCCGTCAGGAGCCTGTCTTTATAGTCCACTCTCCCACCGGCCTATCGGTCCCAGGCCTTGGACTCCCACCTCTGAGGGTCCATGAATCTCAGGCCTTGCGTCGTGCAATCTCTGTTGCTCCTCGCGGGCGGCGGGCGCAGGAGCTCCTGGAGATTTCAGCATCCCGGCTTCTGCCTTTCTTGGATACGTGGAGGTTCATGGGTCGTTATAAGTAGGGTTACAAGTTCGCTCATATGGGAGATTTTATAGTTATAGTTATCCTGCTTATTATAGCCCCACTTCTAACTACCCATGAACCTCTAAGCATGGTGTGCGTTGATTATCGTGTCTCTTGTTTTTGGGTCGGGGGTTCTTAGTATTGCTGATTCTCGGAGATGGGGGGCCAGGGTTTGGCGGCCGGGCTGCTATTCGTGAACTAGGGTTTTCGGGTCAGGGCTTCGGGTTTGGCAGGGATGCCAGCCGTTTGGGCTGCTGCGTGGGGGCTGAGAGGGCGATGCGTGGTCTACGGTGTTTCGGGATAGGAGAAGGGTTCTACCCCGGCCTGGGAGCTCTCTCCACAGCCAACAAGACCCTCAGATCAGAATGATGTCATGCAGTCTAGGCTTCCGGATTCCGAATAGTTTGTAACGGCATCCTGCTATAGTCCTATGAAAAATGATTTAGTGTCATATGCCCCCCAAACCCGATTCTGATTCTTCCGGCCCCTATAATATGATAGAACCCTGATAAACGCCCTTACTGACCGTTTAGATCGAGCCCATACGAGCCCAGTGGCAGAAGCATCAGAGAGGAGCCTTGGGTCGAAGGCTCCTCCGTCACTCCTGAAAGCCCAAAGCTTGGAGGAGGAACCGAAGCCCTAACACATATGTGGATCCATATAAATTTGTACATACGTACGTACAGACGCACATGCATACATCTATATGTGTGTATCCATACATACATACATACATCCATACATACATACATACATACACGCATCAAGATCCGAACATGCAGATATCCCAAGTTGATCTACACAGTTTCGGCCCCTAGATATGTTGCAGCTGCTGCAGCCAATTTCATTCAGTAGCCCGTAGCGCTCAGTGGTTGAGCCAAGGTGGGGACCCAATCCATATCACCCCTCTACTGGTCCATCGAAAGTGGAAGCCATAACTGTGCCAAGGCAGACGATAGGGGGAACAGCTCTTCCAGTAGGGCTCAGGGCTTTAGGGTATTGAGGGTGCTCTGGCTGTTGCTGCACGCAGTCTCTGTTCTGCGAGCTTGCAGGATTTCGAGCTTTTGGGAAGCTTTCGCAAGTCTTGTTCGTGCTACGTGGACGGCCTTGGTGCGTGATGCGAGTGAACTGTACGAGCTGTTTGTCAAAAGGCGCACGAAACGATTTGCGGGGTTCAGCATAAAAAGCTTCTAGATCCTAGTTATAGCTTCGTATCTAGTCATATTGAGAAATGGCAGTGCCTCATACAGGTCCATTGGCTCCCTTGCACTCTTAGCTTCGCTTCGCGCAGGCGATGGTCGAAGACCTCCTCACGATCCGTGCAGATCGTGACAACTACTACTACGGTGCCCGATCGCGGGGAGACTTAAGGACTACTTAGTTTGGGGTTTGGGGTCGAGGGTGGGTGGTGACGGCCTTTACTCATGCTCCCTAAGCTGATCAGGGGCCCCAAGCAGATACACATCACGCGAAAGCCTAGCCTTGCGCGATGTTCCAGGCCTTATCCAGCTTCACGAGCTTTTCTACGACATGTCCAACACAAATTGACACAAGTTGAGATCTTCATTGAAGTTGGGGGCAAGCTTTTAGGCACATGATAGCTCTACTCGGGTGCTGCGACAGGCTGCGATGCTTTGTTCACCCGTCACCCGGAGGTGATCCACAAGCTCTGTGCCTCAGCTTGTTTGTGAAGTTGGGATGTTGGCTCCGTACTTCAACGGCCTATGCGCGGCATCGAGGAGATGTAGAGAGCGTTGACAGTCGTAGGATTCGTCTGCATCGCAATCTTGCGAGATTGAATGGTGGCAGACACACCTGAACCAGTGCAGGTGTGGATGCCCGTCAGTTGATCTGGCCACTACTGGATGGCTTGATCTGGCGCTCGCGAATCTCTGTCCAAGGCGCCGTCAAAACTGAACCTAGTCGCCGCTCTTTCTTTGGGTCTCGGCTGTTTCGTGCAATTCTGAAGATGCAAGGGCGAAGGCAAGCCGAAGAGACTTGCAAGCCTGTCATCCAGGACAGCGACGGGTGAACTACTACATCAAGTATCTCGGCACACCACCACCCTAAACACCTAAACCCTCAACCCTTAAACCCCTTAACCCCTAAACCCCAAACCCTAAAGCCCTAACTTGGGCCCAAGACCCTGTCCTTGCTTTCAGGGATTGCAGTTGGCAGTCGGCTGCAGACCTGATGACTTGCCTGCGGGACCAGCCTAACTTCTCCCAGTCTGTCAAGGGGTTTGGGGTGTTGCAGCTAGGCATTAAGGGACTTTGGGATCACGTGTGTTTTTATCGTATGCGTCGTGCGCATGACGCACCAGCCCTCCAAAACAGACATGAGCAGTTGAACTATGTTGAACTCACCACACAACTTCATCCCGCGCGTCCGGAGGCACCTGGTGCAAGATGGCGAGGGCAACTTTGCCCAGGTGGGACCTTGTCGTCTTCAGGTCATGGTAGTCGTGCACCTCACGAATTTAGCCGCATAGTGGTGGCTCATACCGGCATGCCAGCTCCCTTTCACTCGGCACTCCAAGCACAACAACAATAAGTTTCATCGCAGGCTCTTGAGTGGCTTGCAGCCTCTAAAGATCCGCGTGTCGCCGTTCACCCTGTGGTGGCTCCTTGGTGATAGCAGTGATCCAGATGTGTCTGCACCGCTGTCCGAGTTCATGTTGTGACTGTGACTTGCATGATTATGATTGCGAGTGTGAGTATGAATATGAGAAATGACGACGACCGCTACTGTCACTGCAATTGTGTTCATCAGCATGGTAGCTATTGTTGGCTTCGACTATCATAATGACGGTCGTTACTGTCACCAGAGCCGTCATCATCATACTCGTCGTCGTCGTCGTCGTCATCAACATCATGGCCATCGTCAGTATCATCACCGGCACTGCATGTCACGGCCGTCATCTCCCTCATCATCGTCATCGGCATTGCCATGGCAACTGTAGTGGATACAGAAATGTCTCGGGCTCAATTTTGATCGCGCTTCATCCCTGAACCCCACGAGCATCGCCTAAGGTGCTGTTCTCCGACCTGATGTGGACGCGGGTGGTCATGTACCACTTCCTTGCAGAGATGCACTGCTGCAAGAAGCGTTCAATGTTAAACGGTTTTTGTCGCTTGATCTGGTAAGAAGTCCACCCGGAACTTATCGATCCAAAGGTCATCGTTTGGAATCCGCTATACGCACAAAGTGTAGGGAAGGCAAGAACACATGAATGGCGAAGGACCAACCTGGGCCTCAAGACTTGGGAAGTGTTTTGTGGCGTCACGATTCCCTTTGCAACCATCGGCCTCCGTCAGAGCAAAGGCGACTCTACTTTGCCTTCACCCTGGCAGTTTTCATCATCAGCTACTCGTCTGGACAGGACATGCAGCGACACTTGGTTCGGGCTCACGCGGCCTCCGGTTTTCGTCAGCCGCAGGAGGCAATCGCTTTCCTTGCATCCGTTCGGGGCCCCCCAGCCGAGGCCAGTCTGTCTTCACAAGAAGCGCCAACAGCCAAATGGGTGAGACTGAGAATCTCGTTGTTTTCATCTGCCGAGCCTTCATCTACCTTGGCAGCATGCAGAAGCCTCAGCGCACCACCCGTTCGCATGAGATGAGTGCTCCGGCGTGTTGCGAGTTTCGACTCCCGCGGTGGCCGAGGTGTTTCTTGTTGATCCGATGCCTGGCTTCATAATCCCTGGGCCCTAGGCCTCAAGGACACACTATACCCTACACCCCATGGGGTTTTAGTCCAAACTTTGAGCTTGTCTGGTTGGTGTAGGAAGCCCCCGCGCAGAATACGCAAATTGTCTGTCTGGCAGATCGACATGACATGAGGCTGTTTTCACAGACCCGAACCCTAAGCCCTGAATCCCAACAGAAATCCGCAGACAAAGGACAGCTGCGACTCGTGATCGCTGACTTCCGCGCCGGAGACGTTATGAGGCCCTTCTCCGACCCGTGGGTCTGTTCTCAACCCTCCTTGGCTTTAGGAACTTTAGGGTTTAAGGAGTTCGGGTTCATAAAGGGTCCGGGGTTTGCAGTTACAGTGACGGCTATGGCACGGGATTTAGGAAGTAGGATCTTGAATACAGGAAACTGCATGTTGTGGGGTCTCCCAAGCTGAAGTATCGCTCAGCTGTGTCTCAGTGGAAGCTGGAAGATTCCTGGTGGAATGTTGAGGGGCCCGTCAGTGATTGATGCAACCCGAGCTGACAGCATGAAGTGAATCGCTCTCTCTGCAGAGTGCGGTCATAAGGATACTGTTGATGATATAGATCCTGCATTACCGTAAGGACCCTAGACTATGGGAATTATGGTGTATTCCGTCTTATGGGTAATGCAGGATTTTTTTGTCGAGCGTATGAAGCCTCACTCTCCTGGTGCCACGCTTTTCCTCTTCACTCGTACTTTTCCCCGAATGGTTGGTAGCATAGCGGGCTGGGGCCAACCTGTATATTGGCTTGTATCAAGCGATGAAGAAAGAGATGCAGGCGTTAGGGTGGATGAGGACGCTGCGGTTGTTGATGATGATGCCGATAGTGGGACTGATAGTTGCACTGATGAGAATGACTGCGACGATGCTTCGACAACGATGATGAGTACAGTACAACTATTCATGCTACCTAAGTGTTTAACAAGTACCATCCGCAGCATCCCTACACCAAAGTGTGCAGCCCCAGACCTCAAGGCTCAACTCCATGTTGAAATTGTCTGACTCTTTCGCCTCCAGTCGCAGAGCCCTTGGACGTCCTCCCCAGTCGGCAGTTCGGAATCGCCAATCGTCAGAATGCCTCCCAAGTGTAATCATCCGTTACTCCTGGTCCTGTTGAGTCCCCGAGGTTCCAAAGCCAGGCGCCAGTCGCCCAGAAAATATCACGAAGTATGGATCCTGCACAACACTCAGCCCTACACCGTTCACACAAGCTTGGGCATGTGATGTCTGGTGATGGTTCCAACGGAGATACATCAAGACCGGAATGCAGGTTCCACGGCATCCCGGTGCCCAAGTGCATACTCAGCCGCTGGGCTTGTGCTGTGTGTAAGGGTCGTCCATACACACACACACACATTGAATATGTATATATTTGTACATATTTGTCTGTATCCATCATACACATACCTACACACATGCATATGCACATACTCCCATACATGCTCCCACACTACGTGGTCACTCTTGTACATTATTAGTAGCTGCATTAGCTGCTTTTGTTTATGCATGTATGCATGAAGGGTGAGGCATATATACATACATATATGTATACTACATATACACATACATGTATGTGCGTGCACGTGCACGTGTGTGCTTGTTGTTTCTTTTTCTGAGTGGTCGCTCCGAGGTAAAACTGTTCCCGCCGTTGCCAAGTCAGATCAGTGTTTCACATTGAAAACAAGAAGCGTGAGATAGCAGTAGGAGTAGTAGTAGCAGTAGCAGTAGCAGTAGCAGTAGCAGTAGCAGTAGGAGTAGGAGGAGTAGGAGTAGGAGTAGGAGCAGCAGTAGGAGTAGGAGTAGGAGTAGGAGTAGGAGTAGTAGGAGTAGTCGTAGTAGTAGTAGTAGTAGAAGTAGTAGTAGTAGTAGTAGTAGTAGTAGTAGTAGTAGTAGTAGTAGGAGTGGCACTAGTAGTAGCAGTGGTGGTGGTGGTGGTGGTGGAAGTAGTAGTAGTGCTAGTAGTGCTAGCAGTGAATAGTGCTACTAGTAGTAGTAGCAGTAGTAGTAGTAGTAGTCGTCGTAGTAGTAGTGGTAGCAGTAGTAGTGCTAGTAGTAGCAGTAGTAGGAGTAGTAGTAGTAGTAGTAGCAGGAGTAGGAGTAGGAGTAGGAGTAGGAGTGGGAGTAGGAGTAGGAGGAGGAGTAGGAGTAGGAGTAGGAGTAGGAGCAGGAGTAGGAGAAGGAGTCGGAGTGGCAGTCGCAGTCGCAGTAGCAGTGGCAGTGGCAGTAGCAGTGGTAGTAGTACTAGTAGTAGTCGTAGAAGAAGTAGTAGGGGAGGAGGAGAAACACAGTAGAGGTAGTCTTGACAGTCATGGAGACCAATACACAATGTTTGCTTCTCACCTTGTCTCTTGTCGTCTTCAGGTGCACAGGAAGTCGGCTACATTGGCTTGCTCACGACATTGAACCTCGAGCAGTCGTTTATACGTGTGTCGTTGGCGGTATGTGGGTTGTTCATCAACTAGTGCTCCTGTTTGTATCGATTTGCAGCAGAGACTGTGGCCATGCCCACATTCCATCATGCGACAGCCACATTGGGGGATGCCATCGTCTGCAGCTGGACAGAACTTTTTGTAGCGCGCCTTGTAGATCAAAGCCATGGACCTGAATCGCAAGCCTAAGACTTGTAGTGGTGGTGCTGCTGTTGCTGGTACCAGCTACTGCCACGGCTTCCTGCTGCTGCTAAATCAACATACTTGTACTACCACTTCCACTGCTGCTACAGCAACAAGCACCACTACTCCTACTACTACTACTGCTACTACTACCACACTACTGCTACTACTACTACTACTACAACTACTCCTACTCCTACTCCTACTCCTACTCCTACTCCTACTACTACTACTACTACCACTACTGGTGCTGCTCCTACTCCTACTCCTCCTCCTCCTCCTACTCCTACTGCTACTGCTACTGCTACTGCTACTGCTACTGCTACTGCTACTGCTACTGCTACCGCTGCTACTAGTTGCTGGTGCTACTACTACTACTACTACTACTGCTACTACTGCTACCAGTACTAGTACTAGTACTAGTACTAGTACTACTACTACTACTACTACTACTACTACTACTACTACTACTGCTGCTACTACTACTACTACTACTACGACAAGTACGACTCCTACTTCTACTACTGCTACTACTACGACAACGACTACTACTGCTTCCGACTGCAAACCACCGCGACAGCAGGAAATTTGCCAATCAGAACACGTCGCACGAAAGAGTGGCTAGTAACACCTCAAGCTCAGGATTATCATGTGCACGCAAGAGCCTATCTTCTGGTGCATGGGCAACATGGACGGCGATTTCCCTGGGCCTCTGGGATACTGTTTGGTTCCTTAAGGGGGTAATGCTATGCGATCCGGTCTGATTTGGAATTTTTCGAGATCTAAGCTTATCTAAGTTGTCACGACAACGCAACAGACCTAAACAGTCATACTCTGACTGTAGCGATATACCAGGAGTTGCAGGAAGTGCGTAGTAGACGCAGCATCAAGCTAGTGAGGCTAGGAAGTCAAATTGATGATCAATATTAGAGTAGTACCAGTCGTGATATCTGCAACCTCGTTACAAGCCACAGTGGCAAGTACAACCGCCAGAAATACTGTAAGAGTCAGGGAGTAGCCATTACTAGTTCGGTAATTGCTGAAGGGCTAAGGTCTGACGCTCCTGGAACCCGAAATCCACAAATGGAGGACCGAACCTCAAGCCCTCAACCCGAACTCCGGGGCCATCTTTGTAGCTCCCAGTGTCCTACGTGCCTTATCTGCAACGTATGCCAGGTTCTATAGGGGTTAGGGTGCCATGTACTGGGGTTCCAGAGAGCGTACTAGGACATGTCATCCGGTCTGTCAAATGATTGTACCATGATACCTCACCATATCCAAGAAAGCAACGAATATTTCTTGTCCTAGCTCAAGTATCGCATGATCGCAGCTCTTAAGGTCTGGCTTGTTCACTTCCGCCTGCCCTGAAGCCGTCTCACATCTGGAAATCTACAGCATCACTGCGGGTGCCTCGTTGCGCAAGGAGGTTCAGACAGATCGTGACAGTCAGCTTTCAGCTGGACTGTGGCGACCTGCGACGCCATACAATCCTTCGCATCTTTCCCAAGTCTCCTCTGAGCCCGCCTCCGACCTGTGATCATGTCCAACGACACCTTTGGCAGACTCCCTATCGTCTCATGCCCACTGCTGAACAAAACCTATAGCACATCAGCATACGCACCGGTACTGCCCTAGTTGTCCTTCATTTTTGCTCTGTGACGCTGTCCCAGGCCCCGGCTTTGTAGTGTTAGTGTCCGCATACGGTGCCGACACTGTTTATGTATGTTCTCTCAAGCGGCCAGTGCGCTTCTCTCTTGAGAAGCGAGAGAACATCGCAACCGGACTAGGCGCTAGTGACATGACTGTAAATGGAGTATCCAGGTCGCCTGGCAACCTCCGATGGAGGTTTTACCTGAGCAGACAGTAGGCACGCGGGTAGACTCTTGCCCACCAAGGTGTGTCGATGTTCCTGTACTGGCTCCTCATCATGAACCTGTCGATCTTCTCGATGCAGATATCCGCCTTTGTCCTGGTCTGTGGACAGGTTATGGGCGAGCTGCTGCTCTTTCTGTTTCGCGGCCTCAACAGTTCTACCGAAGTTCAAATGCAATCTGCGGCAGAGGAACCCGCACTATCGTAAGTTTGGGACTGCAGGAACCTAAAACTCTAAAACTCTTCAGCCTAAGACTCTGAAACCCTGAAGCCCTAGACCCTCAGACCCCCAGACCCTGGCGGAAGGCTTCTCTTTAGTTCGGCAGAGTCGTCAATATGGAAGCCTGAGCAGTCAGCAATACTATTCCTAATTGCTCCTGAATCGAACTCTACCATTAAATTGTGATAGTATACGTTCTTGTGGAGATATCTGTAATAGTAATAATCTACACCGAAACTGTGTTCTAATTGTTCAGGGCCCTACATGAGCCACCCCGAGCCTTCCAAGCGTCAGAGCACTGGCTCTTGCACAGCGATGCAAGCATTTGACACAGCTGTCCACAGGTTTAACAGTGTTTGTGTAAGGGTTTCTATAAGTGCTGTAATATAGGGAAGTTGGCATAAGTGCTGTAATAAAGGGAAGTTGGCGAACGATTTATGATATTCCCTTTGCAACACCTGTATATGTACGATATACCCGAGAGCCCATGATGAATACAAAGACCGTATAGTACCATCAGCAGCAACGGTACCTAACACCGCGGACCAGAAGAGGACGCAAAGTGTAAGTCAGTGGGCCCAAAGACCACAACACTGAGTTACCGGCATGATGGCAAATAGCAGTTTGTCTGTACTGGCTAGCTGGAGTTTTTTGGGTAAGGATCTATGCTGTAATCATCTTGCAGTTGACACGCAAGCATCTTCAGCCCTGCAACACTTCTAGCTTCAAGCATGCCTGGTTCTGCAAGCCCAGGACGTCCTTGGCTTTCCTAATACTGGCCTTTGCGACATCTGTCAGCGCAATCTCCCATCAGCTTCCTGACTTCGCAGGCAAAGGTTCCGTGGGAGAAGCACAGTGGTCTAGCGGCACAAGGGGCAATTTCTCCGGCGGGGACGACGACGGCGAAGACTATGACGACCAAGAAGCCATGAACGTGTATGTATTGCACTGTACACAAGCAAAATCTGGTGGTGCCGACAAGCCTGGTTGTTGCTTGCCATAATCGTAGCAGCCGAAGCAGCTGCGGCGGTAGGAGAAGTAGTAGCAGGACTTAGGCAGGAGCGAATGCATGCTCCTTCTCGTAAAACGGCTGCGATGACTAGGACTAATTACTATTGCGGCTGTTGTCGCGGTCACGAAGTCCTGATGGTCTAAAGTGAGGCTCACTGATGTAAGATTTCACGGCTCTGCAAGAAGAAATGTTGATGGATTGTAAAGCGTCGGCGGAACCGGAGCACGAGGAGGTTTTATATCAGTTCGACTGAGTGACTAAGTGTCAGACTTAATCACTCGCTCCTGGTGGAGTTCAGATGCGCATCACGGCTGCAAGTGCTGAAAGTTGTCTTGAGCATGCCGCTCGAGCAGCAGCTCTGCTGGCTCAGCGAATGCAGAACAAACCCCGGGACACCTGATGGTGGAGGTGCTCTAGTCTGTTGTGGATGGGTTGCGTCTGTGTCCAGCAAGACCCCGGTCTTGTCAACAACTGCTCCAGTGGCCATTGGCCAAGAACAGCGCATCGGGAATCCACCGAAAAGTCAAAGATACGAATGGGTACCCCGAAACGTGGGCCGCGGTGTACTATAAGGGCCTAAAAAATCACCAAAACTATTTTGGGGGTTCCTTATTACAACTATAATATAATGGGGCCCGAAAACCCTGTTACTGTTCTAATTATGAAGGCCCCTAGAGTATGCTTTGCAGATCAACTCTGCAAGACTCCTTCCCTGTGCAACGCAGGCATCGACGCCGCGGCTTTGTCCTTGTTGGCCATTTCACTGGGCCTGTTCCCAAGCGAGAAGTTCTTGGAGCTCAAGGCCCGGGACGACAAAAGAAGGTCATGATGTCCCTCCTGGTTATCACCATGCTCATCATTGCGATCGCTGCCATCGTCATGGCTGTCTCTGCCACTCTCACTTTCTTAGCGGGAGGCCTTTCCCGGTTCTGGGTTCTCGGGGCCGGAAGGACCTGATAGTTCAGCAAGTGCAAGTATGCAAGCCATGATTTTCGGACTACCCACAGGAATCAGTGTGGGTCACTCTCTTGGTCGTGCTGTTCGTCATCATCGTCGTCGCCTTCCTGCTGTGCCTTGGCTGCGAACTGAAGTCACGCCCGTGTTCTGGCTTGCTGAAGCGAGGGCTGCGTGCAAGCATGTCTGCCATCGAGCCGTTCGAACAACACCTGTGGCGTACTGTCTGCCATTGCGGAAAGGTTGTAGCCTGTAGCCATCTGGTCAAAAGACCATCCAGCACCACGCTGAGGAACCTTCTTGTGGCGCAGCTGAACCAGGCATATGCCAGTGTCTACCTCGACATGCAAGGTTACGCACGCCAGGATCTCAGCATGAACAGCGCTGCGTCGACAGTACCTTTCGCTTGTTGCGGAGCTTGCTCTGCTTCTCCCTGTTCCGGCTTTCGTGTGGGGAGGCAGAAAAGCGAAGTCTTTAACCGCTTTCCATCCACGCCAAGGCCTGAACCGAGCCGAGGTTATCGTGCAAGCGGCTCAGTTGGGGGTCTCTGCCCCGATGACGCGAATAAGTCTGCCCTTTTGTGAACTTGGCATACGAGCGCCTCAAGGTGCCTCCCGACTCCTGATACCTTTTGTACTTTTGTAGGATTTGGCGAGCTCACCTCTTGAAAAGCCGAACAAGAAGGATTGTCCGTCCGTGACGTGGCGGCGTGCACACCGGATTTTACTTTTCCGTTCACATTCCTGACTTTGTTTCTGTAAGGGGTCGGAAGACTCAGTAACAGTTTTTCTGTAACCCTGCAGCCCTAGATTTAATAATTAATGTTGCATGGTTTTCCTGGGCAAGCGTAGCTTGTGAAGGGCGGCGCACCCTTTTTGTGCAGCCTTTCGTTGACTACTGAGGACGACCCTTGAGGGAGTACGCCTTTCGAGCACCGGCCTCAGCATGGATACGTGGGGGTTCTTTCTTTGGTCTAGCTCCTGCTGAGCTTTGGTGCTGCAAACCCTGTAGAGCATAGGGTAGACGGGCGGTAGAGATTCAAAGTGCCGCTGCTCTTTCTAGGCTGCCCGATGCTTCAGAGAGTCTCTGAGCAGATGAAGTGGGGCTTTTATTATCTGGGGGTACTCAAAGTAAAGGCTCTATAGAGAGAGACCTGACCTAGGGATAACACCCGGCGACAGCAGATAGCAGACACTGGTTAATGTGAAAATCCCCAACAACAAACTCATGTCCCTATCGCTGGCTCTAGGACTCCGGGGCACTTATCTTTTACAAGTAAGTAGTCTCTTCCGTCGAGACAAACGCATACCCTGAGAAGGGGGGTTCTGTATGCGGCAAGTAGTCGAAATAATGCAGACCCTTGAGTAATGCATAAACACCTTTTCTTGAAAGTTTCTCTGAAGGCCTGCATATTCGGATCCCTAACAGAATTCCTACTGTCAGAGATCTACGGCCATGCTCTCTCAGGTTGGAAGCGCTTTCTCCAGAGTCTTCGCTTGGCTGCTGGGTTGCTTGTGATGTCCGGTTTCGACTTCTGTTAACTTTGGCGCTTATGCGAGTTTAGAGAGCCCAGCCCTAATGGCAAAAGCCCTGGGGTTCAGGGTCTGCAAGAATTCCTGGAGCTGATCCCATTGCCTTCAGAACCCCACCCCGAAAACCGCATGCCCAACAGAGCGTTTAACGGCAAATCGGAAACCCGAATATAGAGCCCTTAGCCTTAAATCCAGTCTTATTCTAAGCATCCCCCCAAGTTTTGTGCAAGCACCATCGTTTTCCGAAGCTCCCACTTCTCGTAAACCCAAAAACTGCCACCAGGATCGACCCCTGGAGTTCAACGAGGGCGATGTGGGTCTCGCAGGCGGGTGCTGTCGGATTCAGTAGGGTTTAATGTAGGGACCTGAGTAATAACCCTTACTTGTACAGGTTTTGGGGTCGCTGCCATAGCTATACAGCTGTACATGATACACCCCCCAAGACCCTATTCCAATGATTAAGGTTAAGGGCCTAGGGCTCAACCGCTTAGATTATGGTCTCGGGCTGAGAGGCTCTCCAAATTTTGGGATCTTTGTTGGGCTGCTTGACAGTTCGTAGGTGTTTACTACAGGGGCCTTAATAATTACCTACGCTATTTTGGGCGTTCCTTCTTACAAGCACAATCTAGCATACCGGGCCCCAAAACCCTATTCTAATTATGCAGGCCCCTATATCCGAAGTGGTCGTTGGTAGAAGTGGCTGGTGATCGTCGCTATCAGCCTCTGGGCTCCGAACCAGAACCTGGAAGATGAGCGTGTGGCGGGAGAGCAACTACAGGGAACTCCAGAAAGTTGGAATATGGATTAATGGTAGGATCCCCTATAATTTACCTTGAAGGGGTTACGATAGTGATATTCCAACTTTCTGGCTTCTACTGTACAGCGGGTCATCCTCCAGGTTCCGGGGTTTCGGTGGGTTTTCGGTTTCATGTTTCAGGCTATAGGGTGTATAGAGCCGTTTGCAGCAAACCCCGTAAAGTTGGAAACCGGATTAGGGCCAAATAGTGCTGGGAATCCCTATACATTACTCTTAAGGAGTAGGGCTATTGGGTTTCCAACTGTTGGGCTTCTACTGTAAAGAGTACTAGAGGTTTGGGGTCGAAGGTAAGGGTATAGGGTTAAGGATTGGAGAGGAAGCAGCGTGGGAGGGGAAGACTGACTCTCAGGGCCCGCGCCGCAGCAGGTTTAGAATTCCTTCTATGGAACCCACAACCCTAAACCCCTAAACCCTAAACCCCTAAACCCCTAAACCCCTAAACCCCCTAAACCCTAAACCCCTAAACCCTAAACCCCTAAACCCCTAAACCCCTAAACCCCTAAACCCCTAAACCCCTAAACCCTAAACCCCTAAACCCCTAAACCCTAAACCCTAAACCCCTAAACCCTAAACCAAGTCACACATCAACTTCGGTGCCAGTTCTGGGGATGCAGGATTTTTTTCTTGGGCCTTTACGTGGCAGCGGGTGTCCGACGCAGCCGAGCGCTTGACTTTTGGAGTAGCTTAGAGGGGCTAATCAGAGAGCCCCTGAGCACCTAAAGCTACCCCTGGGTATATACCCTTAATATAGCTATTAAATAGCTATTATATACCCATTATACCCTTAATATAGCTATTATATACCCATTATACCCTTAATGTAGCTATTATATACCCATTATATAGCCCATTATAGGGTAGGGGTCCCCATTAAAGGTCCCTCCTTCATGCATTTCAGGGGGAATCCAAATTCTGGAGCCGGCCAATGCCGCTTGACAAGGTTGAGTTTTGTATTTTCAAGCATGTCGGAATTCTCAATATCTCAAAGAGAAGCACGGAAAGGGAAGTTCATCATGGGTTTTCTGGATGTCATGGAATTGTGCAGTGAATCTGCATCTGTGGGCTGTAGCAACCTTTAGGTTTGGCACTGGTGCCTACTCTCAGGCCTACTCTTCCTAGTGAGCCGTCTCCGTTCGCTCATGGTACATGGAGGTTGTGTAGCTTCCCTAGGCGCCAGGCGCAGCTGTTTCGCCGAGGGCTTCTTAAATCCGAATCTGAGGCAAATCCTACAACGGTGCAGGGCCCAGTCACCTCTCTTTCTGCGAATGATGACAGCACTGTGCCATGCAAGAACGGTCATGGTTGATCTGAGCTGTCTGATTAATGGAGCTTCAGTCCACTTGTTGTGCTCATCTTGAGGTGCAGAAGCTCAGAAGCACTGCTTACGATGACGATGATGTTCATGATGAAGAAGATGATGGTGATGGTCAATACTATTACTATTGCTAGTGTCGATGCTGCTACTATTGTGACGATGATGGTTACCCTTATCATCATGGTCATCGTCATCATGACTACGGTGTAGGCAAGCACGGTGACAATAAGGATGGTGATATTGATTATGATTGCGGCGTTAGTGCGCTCCACTGCAGACAGGTAGGTCAGCCTTTATCGTTTTACATTTTTGTTGCTATCTCTCTGTCTCCCTCTGTCTTTCTTTAACTCACTCATTCATTCATTCGTTCGTTCTTTCCTTCTTCGTTCGTTTTCTTCTCTATCCCTGCATCTTCTCTTCGCTTCTCTCCCACCGGTGCCTCAGCCTAGGCCGTCTGCAACCAGGTGGCCCGCGGGTACCTTATTCTGGGGCCCTTATAATAAGGATCCTACTATTTAGGGTACTTTATTGGGGTCCCGTATTTTCGGAAACTCTAAACCCTACCCGTGTACCCCAAAGACCTTGGCGTCCGAACAGCCGCGAGCACTATATACAATCACTACAAACCCAAAACCCGAACGCACCAGCCACAACCTTCAAACTTTGGGTCAGCCTAAACCCCAAGCCCTAAACCCGAACCGCAAAGCCCTCGAGGTGGATTCGGTTCGGCGTTTCGGCGGCTCCACGGCGTTGTCGCAGCCCTGGCCGGAGGAAGCCCAGCCATGGGATAGGGTATCAGTATGGTTGTTTTTTGAAGGGATCTATAGGGATCTAGAACCTAGAAGGGATCCAGATAGGGTTCAAGAGCCTAGGGTTTGGGGGAGGGTTTAGGGGTTTCGGGCATGGGTCTTGAAAGGGTTCAGGGGAATTGGGCCCCAACCCGAGAGCTCCATTCAAAGCATGATCTGAGAGGGCTGAAGGTTTGCGGGCTACTGCTGAGCCAAAAAGCCCATACTGTTGCTGATATAAATCCTGCACTACCTTAACGAGCCTAAGCTATGGGAATTCTGGTATATTCCTTATTCTGGGTAATGCAGGGTTTAGATCATCAACCGTAGGAAAGGATAGCTGCTCAGCTCCACCTTTGCGAGGAGGAAGAAGCTGCTGAAGAGGCTGACGGGGGGGGCGGGTTGGTGCAGCTTGGAGTTGATCCAATGATGTAGAAGTTACTGTAGGGGCCTCAATAGTTGGAATAGGCCATCAAACTACAACTAGAATAAGGAGTTTCCAAAATTGTATAGGTAATTTTTATTTAGGCCCCTGTATTAGCTGTTCTGGGGAGTGAACAACAAGGCTTGAGGTGGGTAGTGCATATACTGTGCCTATGCTCAGGTTCAACGTATCGAGTCTAAAGGCACACCCTGTGCAGTAAGCAGTCATTCTGTAGCGTTTTTGTCCATCTTGTTTCCGCAGAGGCCACGGCTAGAATAGAGGACTTGCATAAGGGGTCATGTACGGTCGGAAGAACTACTCACAGAGTCCGTTTATGATTCCTGCTGTGTCAGAGTTAGTATAGCATAATTTCACCAAAATCCATCGCAACCCTATTCTAGCTACTGCAGGAGCCTTCGTAACTACCTATACCTTTTTGGGGGTTCCTTATGATAACCATAGTATAATATACCCCCCTAACCCCATTAGCATTTTAAAGGCACCTACATTCTAAGGCCCCAATCAGCTCCCTGAGCTGGCTGACAGGACCGCTTCGCGCGCCTGGAGAAGCTGCGTCTTGGCTCGGTCTGATGTGCACCGTGCAGATCTTTCTTCAGTTTTGTGGGTTAATGTAGGGGCCTCAATAGTTCGAATGGGGTGTCTGGGGATATGATACTATATTTATATGAAGGAACCCCAAAACCATCTTCGAATGTGTAAGGACCCCACATCAAGGGTTGTGGGATTGGGATTTTGAGTGGGGTGATTA